GGCTTTCCCCCTAGGTCGGCGGCAGGATAGCGGACAGGGTGTTTGATATCACCAGGTAAGCCTCGCCGCGGGGGGCAGCGGGTACCGCTCCGTATCCCATACGCTCCCCTGCAGCAGCAGGGTCACGGTCAGGGGACGTGACCCTTGGGAAAAAACGCTGGCTTGTGAGCGCCTTTCTCTGCGCTTTCTCGTAGCGGTAACCAGGGAAGGATGATGCTCGATGTGGTTAGTTCGAAAAGACGTTTGGAAATGAGCCGACAAAATAGAGTCTAAAACTTAAAGTAGCTAAAGTCTTGATTATGTCTTATGTTGCTAAACTTATCCCTTAGGACATTTCCTCTTGCTTTGGATGTTGGCTCTGGAAGAGGTTACATAGCTCAACATTTAACCAAGGTACTGGCTCTTCATACTTCAAAGTGTTTATAATAAGTACGTATTTATCTCTCTGTTTTCAAATAGGGCTCTATTGTAACTTAAAACGATCCTCTGAATCTTGATGAGGTAACTCTTTTTTTTTTTCCTCTCATATCTGTAGCTACAGTCCAAAGATGTGTATTGTGCAGGTTGTTACTCTATATTTATTGTCACTGAAGACTAGACAGATAGTAGCGCAAGGGAAGCTATCTGTTGTATGACAGTTAACCTTTACTCTTCAGTAGGGAGATGCATGTTTTTCAATCAATCTTTGTTGGACACACTTAGTTGTTATAGACACGTATCATTATGGAGACTTCTAAATGGTGAACAGCTTACCCTTCCTGAACCATGCTGTAAGTAAAGGTACTTCACTGGCTGTTAATCCAGGGTTTATATCTGACTGAACTTACACCTGAAAATGCAGAATGTGTTTTCTGTTACTACTTTTACCTCAGCTATTCTCCCTGGGAGCAATATACTAAGTATTATGTTGGGGGGAAAAATGTTTTCTGCTTTATGTAAAGTTTTGTCAAGTGTTAAAGAGATTCCTTCCAATTTATTATAAATATGTGTAAGAGTTCGAAAAAAATGACTAACGTCAACTTGTAAAACAGTTTAAATATTTGATAGACTTTTAAAATTTTATTTCAGGAAACCATTGAAAAACTTATTCAAGTTGATATCGCAGAGAATGCTTTAGTAAGTAGCTTTCTGAATGCTAATGTGCTTCAAGTCCATAATACAGGAAAGCAAAAGAAGTGAGTTTCTGATGTTGTTTTTCTTTTAACCCAACATTAGAAAAATGCTGTAGAATCTGAAATCCCTACGGTCAATGTTGTAGCTGATGAGGAATTCCTTCCTTTCAAAGAAGATACATTTGATCTTGTTGTTAGCAGCTTAAGGTGTGTGTTAATCATTTATTTACGTTTTATTTTTTGGTTAAAGATGTTAAATAATGTTATTTTCACGGTAACTTTAAGAAAAAAAAAGATAAAGATTAATAGTTCATTAAACAGCAATAAGAAATGTACTTGCGTAGTTAATATGAGTGTACATTAGGAAAAACCGCTGTCCTGGGGGTTCTTACTGTTTTGTTTGTTTGTTTTCCTTCAAAACACATGTAGCTTCTCTTTCCTGTGTTTGACAAACTAGTCTCCAGGACTTGCATCTTCTCAACTTTAAAAAAAAAAAAAAAAAAAAAAAGAAGCTATTTGTATGAACTTTTGTTTTTATTTAGTGTCACTTTTAGGCAGGCATTTCAGAACTTTTGCAGCTTGAGAAGCTAGTTTGTTGCTTTGGCTTCTGAAACATACTTAGATAATGTAATAATTATTTGCATTACCTAAATTGTATTTAATATGCAACTACAAAATGTACACTTCTGTTATTTCAGTTTACATTGGGTGAATGACCTTCCTAGAGCTTTTAGAGAGGTAAGAAACCATTTTTTAGTACTAAAAATCAACACTTGCCGTTACGTGCCTTCAGAGCACTGTATATTTCCAGGTTGTCTTTAAATAAGAGGCACAGAAACAGCTCATGTTGCACACAAGTATTTTTTGCAGTATTTTTGGCAGTTTGAGGACCATCAGTTGATAATTCTACTAATTTACTGTTTCAAATCAGTTTGGACTAAATAACTGTAAAACGACATGTTTGTATAATATTTTATAGTCTCAACAGCTGAGGTCATGGTAACTAACGTAACCTGAGGCAATGCTATTGATTTTACTGTGTGTTAGCTCTTACTACTTGTAGTACAAGAGTTTTCTAAATCTAACTTCCCCAGAACTGGTTTATGGAACTTGTATTATTTTGATGTCTCAGCTATTTATTTTGAAATACAACTTTAATGAGCTGAAGGCTTTTTGATTTTTTCTAAAATGAAGCAAATCCTTGTTAAGGACAGAAAACTGAAACTGTTACTGAAAAAATCTGATTTTGGATTATTTCAGCTCCTTCCTGCAGGTGAAAACTTTTTTCAAATCAGTTAACCTGGGAGCAAGAGCAAGGAATATTTTGACCAGTTTGCTGTTTTTTCATTTATTTCAAATTGGTCAGTCATTACAGTGCTATTCTGTCAGCTGTTGGTATGAATAGGAGTACCCTGCTGTTATGGAAATAATAATAGAGATTGGAATGCCTTCAGTACTTTAAAAAAAAAAAGGCTTGGCAAGAAATAAACCTTTTCTCTGGAATTTAAGTGTTCTGTGGAGTGTCAAATATTTTTACCTCCACAGCAAAAATAACTGACAGATTATAATGTCCCACAAAGGGGAGGGAACTGGGGTTCTTGGCCAGCTTTCATCATGAATGCTTATTTCCTACTTTGGGTCCACTGGCTTTAACTAATGGAAGCTGCCTTCAACTGCTTAAATTTCTTACCTATCAATTAAAGGCTGCTTTATTAGTATAGAAAAGGTAGCTTGATTAATACTTAACTAAAAATGAGTTTAAAAGATTTTTGTTTCAAATCAGTAAGGTAAACTGTTTGAAGCTTTTGCTGTCTTGTTAGCCTGATTATGTAGCATGGCTCTTCTGGGTATCTAAACCAGGGATCATTGCCAATTCTTAAGGAAAAAAGAAAGTATGAATTTGTTGGCCTTCTCAGTGGGAAGGGGGCTAGGACTTATCGGGCAAGAAAGCAGCCTGTCAACCTTGGCATTTGAGTCATTATAGTGCTATTCTGGCTAGTTGAAAATAAGTAGCGGTAAACATAATAATAATTGCATTACTCTATTGTGCGTTCAGAAGCGCAAAGATCGCTACTAGAAACTGAGGCCTCCATTTCTCTTAAATCAACCCATTAAAAAATATTTTTGCTGCCCTCATCTGAGAAACTAAAAGTAAGCAGAAGCTATCTTAATCTACCTTATTTTCAGAAGTAAATTAATTGAGGATATTGTTTTAGGAGTACCCCGTTGAAAATAGTTTTGCCATAGATTTCCACAGTGCATTTTGTGTTTCCTGACTGTAAGGGTAATTTCTGGAGATTCACTCTTTCTTTAAGAACGAATAATCTCTTTTCAGACAGATTATTTATCTTGCAGTGTAACCAAAAGCTTTGGTGCAGCTTGTCTTGTGGAATACAGTCAATGTTAAAAATCTGTTACAACTATTATAATGATTGCTTTTAAGTTCATTTTCTAAAAAAAAAAAAAAAGTCCTAAGAACTTAGTTACATAGGCTTAATAACAAAAAACATTTTTTTTTTTTTCCCTGTGTTGTAGATTCACCAAGTTCTTAAGCCAGATGGAGTGTTCATTGGTGCAATGTTTGGGGGAGACACTCTGTATGAGCTTCGCTGCTCTTTGCAGCTAGCAGAATTGGAGAGGGAAGGGGGATTTTCTCCTCACGTATCACCGTTCACTGCTGTCTCTGATTTGGGACATCTGCTGTCGAGAGCTGGCTTTAACACCCTGACTGTGGTAATTATAAATAAGAGAACAATCAAGACAAAACAATCCAGAACATCAGAGCTGCTGGAGTATAAAAAATACTATTTACGAATGTATTAGTAATGTACTGCTTCCTTCTGCTTGTCGTGCACCTTGCTGAATAAATTTTCTGAAATAGCCTGGACTGCCTCTGTTCTTGGCTTCACTGTGATTAATGAAACCAACTGAAGTGTATCTTTGGCTAGTGGCCCAGTAGAGTTTGGATGGTGGTCTTGGAGAAATGTCAGAGAATGTTAGACCTGCTTGAAAAAAATTTAGACACTCTTGCTGTTTCTTCTAAAACCAAGAAGAAAATAATGGCATTTCAATTAAAATTTGATTGCATTTGGGCTACTAAACAAAACTTTTTAGAAGTGTTAAGACAGCATATTCTTCTGAGAAGTATGCAGTTTGAACAGAAGTGGCAGATGAATAATCCATAAGCAGCTCTGAAGGCTAGTGTAATGCTGCTGTTTTAGCTTGATATGCTCTAAAACTAAGCTTCTCAATTCTTTTAGGATACTGACGAAATTCAAGTCAACTACCCAGGGTTGTTTGAGGTTATGGAAGACTTGCAAGGCAAGTATATACTTTATGGAAACATAAGTGTTTTCTGTATCAGTGATGCAGACACAGAAGCGTTTCACTGTGTGTTTTTAACTGCAAATCATAGAATCATAGAAGGGTTTGGCTTGGAACAGACCTTTAAAGGTCATCTAGTCCAACCCACCTGCCATGGGCAGGGACATCTTTAACTAGATCAGGTTGCTCAGAGCCCTGTCCAACCTGACCTTGAATGTTTCCAGGAACAGGGCGTCTACCACCTCTCTGGGCAACCTGTGCCAGTGTTTCACCACCCTCATCTTAAAAAATTTGTTCCTTAAAAAAATATAAATAAATAATAAATAAAGCTTATTTTAACAGTGGAAGCATTACTTTTTTCCTGATCTCTACTGAGTCAGGAGATTATGCTTGTCAGGAGATTTGTGTTGGGAAGCAGAAGTCAAAGATTTGCTACTTCGTGGTCTGCTGTGAATTTTCTGCTTTCCTTGTATTCCCATTCTTTGTGAGCATGTTCAGTGTAAGCTGCTGAAAAGCCCTGAAAGGGAGACAGAAGCTTACGTCCCTCATACTAACTTCTCCTTGTGAGCCTCCCTAATTATCAGGACATTCAGGAAACGTTCTCAATTCTTTGGAATGAGAATAAATAGACCCTCAAATTGGAGTCTGCTGAGGAACACAAACAATTGAGATGCTTAACAATTGAGTTATATTCTGATTGCATTTGTCATGGATTGTAAAGTAGTCATTCATATGCAGTCAGTTGTTACTTATAGAGCAGTTCAGGGCATCTTCTTACTCTGCATCAGCTGCTGTTGTTTAGCGTAATTCCTTAAGGAAAATAAAACTTTCGTTCTCTGCAATTTCGTTCAGATGCAATAAGTGATTAATGAGATTAAAATTGTGGTTATTTCTTATTAAAAAAATCTCTTGGGATAGTCATTTTGATGCTTATCTGTTCAAAAAAAATACGTATGAGTGGTGTGTCTGAATAAACACTTTGTACTAATGCTTAAAATAAATTATACTAGAAAACCTAAATGTTTGAAGACTTGGGCTGAAGAAATAATAATTTGAAATCATTCCTAGCAACACAAACTGTAAATTGCAAAGCACTGGCCTTAAAAGGCTTGGATTCTTGTAGGTAAGAAACTCACCTAATTATTTGCGTTACGTTGTTCTCTCTTACAGTGAGATTCAGAGGATTCTATACTTAACTCTGGTTTAGTAAAAATCTGTCATTAGTGCATGACACTTAACTCATGGCATATGCTGTATCTTCTTTTTCTTAAAGCTAAAACATATTTTTAGGTATGGGGGAGAGTAATTGCTCTTGGAATAGAAAACCTCTGCTACACAGGGAGACAATGTTGGCAGCTGCTGCAATATATCAACGTAAGTATTTGAGAGGTAATAAGTTAATCTGAAATGACTTTAAGAACATATTTTCTACGTCTTTTTCTCTGACCTCTGTGGGGGGAAAAAAAAAACCGCATTTTGGAATAGAGCAAAATACCATTATCATACAGATATTTTTAACCTTAATTATAATGACAGGATTTGAACTATGTTGATGCACCAGTATGAGGTATTTTTATTGTCCCAAATCTTTCACCAAGAGTCATTATGATGAATATGTCATACTTAGTTCTAATGTTCCGAGAACTAAGTATTTCTCAGAACTGATGTTCTGTGTACCTTTTTTTTCCTCTCCCTTCCTGCCCTAACAGAAATGTACGGAAATAGCGATGGCTCAGTACCTGCCACGTTTCAGATCTACTACATGATTGGCTGGAAATTCCATGAATCACAGGTAATGTGAAGCTGAACTATTTTCTGTTTGAAGGTACTTTTTAAATAACTGATGCTTTAAAAGCTTTTTACAAAATATTTTAACTTCAAATTAGCCCTATATATATTTTTTTTTTTCTTCTTTTTTTCTTAGGCAAGACCAGCCCAGAGAGGTTCTGCAACAGTTTCATTTGGAGATCTGGCAAAAATAGATGGACTTCTTTCAAGAATAAAAAAATAGTTCTTCAGCAGAAATAATAGTTGTCTTGAAGCGTCTATAAAACTTCTCATTGCAGATAGTCTTCACTTGTGCTTATTTTGTGACGACATTCTGAAATGATAATAATCTGCACGCAGCAGGGTTTTTTGGTTTTTTACTGCCTATGCTACAACATCAGCTGTGTAAAATGGTGTTAATTTTTTTTTATAGAGAAATATTTGAGCAGTATTCTAAGTGAATACACACTCTCCCAACTTTTGATTAAATTACTATTCTCAAATGTAATTCCTCTTCCAGCATTTCAGTATCACAGACTGCTCCAGGTATGATTTGCAAGACTTGAGTGTGTATCACCCTGCATTATTTTTTGATTATTCCTAAAGGATGGTAGATCATAATAAAGAATAGTACTTGGTGGCAAGTGTATTTATAAGACATCCTATAAGAGAAAATATCAGCAAATACACAGATCTAAATTACTATGCTTTTTGTGGGTTGGAAATTATGGGTAAAAAGTTACTGTCAGTTATTGTTTGAAATTTGAACGTTTGACTTGTGTATAAGGAAGTGGTTAAGTAAGTTCGGCATTATAAAAATATCTCAGGTTGTTACCCTTCACCTACAGCCCTCAAATTCAATTACTTTTCCTTCCACCTCCAAAGTTAGAAATGTTTCTGAGCCTGAATGGTAGAGTCTAGCCATAAAGAAAGTTGGATGCTTCATTGTAGCTCGAACAGAATGTATGTATCATGATTTGACTTAATTTACTGAAAGGAGTAGCGAGCAGAAGGGTCACCTAGCACTCAGATGGATGTGTACGTTTCAAACTAGTTAATTATCTTAGAATTGGCATTCTCTGGAGTTGGTACTCTTTTGGAGTTCCATGGCTTTTTTTTTAACCTGTTCTTTTGTCTTGTAGCATTTGAAAAATTAAAGGTGATATTTTATCTAAATATTAGTTCAAAATTACATTTACACATTACTTTGCTATTCTACTGTCAGAGGCTGAAAAGCATGAAGTATACTTTTTTCTCCTTAGCTGTGACACAGAGATATGACTTTTCCTGTATATAACTGCATTACCAGAAATTGATATTAGTTACAAATATGGCCCATTAACCTGAGGTGTTTAGAAAAATTAATCTACCTGTGATTTCACTTCATGATAGTACTGATAGAGAATGGTAGAAAAGGAAAAGCATGAAGAATATATAATCAAGTATATTGTTCAATCAGTTTTGTCATTGTATCTAGGTGTTGTGTAAGTACTGGTGAAACGAAAGCTTCTCTAGGCTTGTTTTAAGAAGATTATCCAGCAGGTGGAGTTTGACAGAATGGTGTGGCACAAACCAAATAGGCAAGGTAGGCAGAAGCCTTCGTATTCTGTCAAGGATTATTGAATTATGATTCAAAGACTAATACAGATATTAAGCTACTGCTTAACCAATGTTCAATTTTCAAAATAACAGAAATGGTCTTTAAAAAGAAACTATTCATGCAGTATTCAGCTGGCTAGAAGATCAATTTAAGGGCCTAATTTGGGGGTTTATCTTATCTACCAGGCTTTGACTTCGAATAAGAAATGGGCAGAGAACGTACAACACATCATGATAACGAGGGCAGTAATATTCTGTCCTGCTTTTGCTTACAAGCCTAATCCATAATTATTCAGGGGGAATGAGTTCATCTTCAGTTTTCCTTAGAAAGGAACAGTAACCCTTCTGGAAAAAGGGGGAGAGGCTGTAAGTGGTCTGATAACCTTTATAGCCCTTTATCTTGAGACTAAATCTAAAACAAGAGCTTGTTTCTCTGAAAGCCTCTTTTTTTCTTGTAGTACATCAATGGACTTAATACAAGATACTGCATCTCTCTACAGATCATCTCTGGCTTAAGTAAAATTCACTTATTTCAAGGGGAAACTCTCCAGTTTCCCAGATATATGTTTCTATGAAGTTATGTGTCAAATGAGTGTAACTTTAGGCATTTTCGCTTTAGTAGGTTAATTTCTAGTCACTTGAGCTGGTGGTTGTGACTCAGATGTGTTAAGGGATGAGGAGGTGGAATGTGCTGGGTAAATGTTAATTGGAGAAGTGCTCCTACTGTGCTTCTTTGAAGCACTCAGTTAAGTCATAGAGAAAAGGAAGGATTTCCAGTTCTTTGGTTCCATATTCCACAGGTGGAATATGTAAACAGTAAAGTAGGTAGTAGGTAAGAATGTAGTTTGATAATGGGGAAATGAACCTTCTGAACAGGGAGAAATAGGAGAGTAGTTTTCTTCCTAGCACTTGGAAAAAAAAAAAGTTTAGTTTCCTTTAACTTGGAAAAGGGCTGGGGCATAGTAGAAGTGAGGAGTAATAAATATGGCATTGGAGCAGTGTTGGTTAGAATTAGGGGACATGCAACTGACAGGTAAGATGTTCCTTTCCCTGGCTGACTACATTTGAATAACTGCCTTTTATGTGTGCTTTTAACTGCAATTATTTTTTTTTTTTCTTTTTCTGTAGTATTTCTTCTTGGAATTCTAGGTTACTCTGGTTTCCACTAGTCACTTTCTTTGTATGGCACTTGAACGAACAGCTTCAAAAACAGTTAGTTTACTATGCACAGGTGTTTTTGTCACATAAGGCTCTGTTATATTTTAATTTTCTTTTTCAGATTTAAGTCTTTATGGCTTTCTAAAATTGTAAAGAAGAAGAATGTGGTTGCCAGTTGCTAATCTAGAAATTATTTTAAACTCTTAAGTACTTGTTAAAAATCAGCTTTTGCAGAGTAACTTCTAAAAGGTAGTTGCTAAGGTGACATAATGTTTCTTGTAAGCTTAGTTAGTTTTAAAAATCTTTATGCATAATACAGAATGTTTTTCTTCTGATTACAGAAGAATGGAAAAAAGAATTCTGGGAGATAATTATTTTGACTAATGAAAAGTTACGAGCCCATAAATAAAAAAGAAAAGTTTAGAAGAAGCACGTTTACACTTAATGAACGTTAGTATTTTTGAGCCTCACAAAGGTTCTGGGGGTCTGAGTCACAGATCAGTGAGCATGCTTGTTCAGTGTCTTTGATTACAAGATCTGTCAATGTATAGTTTTATGCAAATCTACTTAGGATATAGAGATGATAATGAGGCCCTACATTTTGTAACCCAAGCATTAGATTTTGCAGATCCTGTGCTTTCAAAAGACTCTGAGAATTTGTGAAGTTAAAACATGGGCAAGGATTCTTGATTACCTCTAATTTATAAAAGTGTCATCAGCAGAAGTACAGAAGTGAACCATGCAAAATTAAATTTAACTGTATTTTTTTACTCTGCTTAAAAAAGAAAGAAATATGAATGACACGTTTTTCAATGTTTTCTGGAAGTGAGCTAAAACTAAACTTTGTCAGTTGCAGGGGGAGAAACAGACCGATCTTTCATGTGGTGTTTAATTGGAATTTCCTGGTGCAAAGATCTGATCTAGTGGATTAAATTCATTAGAGCGTCTTGTTCAAGAAGCCACATTAAGAAAGCTAGGATATATGTTAAGCCTTTTAAATTTTCATTCGTCTAACCCAAGAACTTAATATCCACTTATCAAAGATGTGATCTATTTTGGTCCAGGTCTTGGAGCCATTATTTGGGGGAGTACAGTTACTGTAGTAGTTTGATTGGAATCGGTCTGAGTACTGAAGCAAATGTGACCTGTATAGGTAGGTGGTTGATTTCCTGAATATCTTAGGTGCCCTCAGGTGAAGGACAAGGAAGAAGAGAATAAAAAAAAAGAAAAACGTGAGACAGTTAAGTTTTAGCCAAAGGCTAAAAGTGTGAAGAAGTGTGAAGTGTATGTGTTTCAGTGTGAAGTGGAAAACACTGAGGAGAGTGCATGTGCTTGTTGTAGGGGAAAACAACTCGTGGCTTAAATCAAGTTAGAATTAAAGTGGTTTGTTGATTTATTAATAGCTTGTAATTAACTGTTGGTCTGTGAACTACACATGCAGGATTAATAACAGCAATATAACAGATAAATGACTGTACTAGACCCTTACAAAACCTTAGTAAACACCTTCAGGTACCTAAACACCCTTCTACAGCAATCCCCCACAAGTTTGCAGTTACATGCTCACCTCTATCCCTTTAACAGGTTTGGGTTATAAGAGCCCACCCTTCTAGGAATACGCTACCCTATTTACATCCATCTTCTTTGGAGATGTGGGTGCTGTAGCTGCATGCTTACCGGTGCTGTTCCCTATGCTCCACTAATCCACCCACCTGTTGGGATAGCACCCCACAAGGTGATGTGCAGACACCCCAGGAGCGGTCAGTGCTTGTTGCACCCTGTACCATCAGCCCGCTGCCAGGCATGCAGGCTACTCCTGGCTGCTGGGGAGCGTGCTCCTTCAGGCCTCGACAGAGCTTGAGGTGCCAGAAGGGCATCTTCTCATCAGATCAGGTTTAGAGTGATTCTCTCTTCTCGCTGTTAGAAATGTTAGTGGGTTTTATACTTGATTTTAAGCTGACTCTTCTTTTCCCCACCCAAGGTCTCTTGGTAACTGCGTGGTTACTGTTTAATGTGGCTGATGGTTGTCTTCGTTTTCAGCCTTACCAGATTTTGAGCAAACACCCTCTCAGTTTTGGATATTCTGTTCACACACATTGCACTCATATTTCCATCTTAGCAGCTGATGTTGTCCAGGCTTTTTTGCCAAGAGGAAGCCATGTGGATTTCCCCCACGATTTGGAGCTGTTTCTTGGGGTACAAGGTACATTCATAATCTAAGAGACAAAGTCCTTCTCAGAAAAAACATTTCTGTTTGGAACCTTATGTTGGAGCAGTGATGATGAATACTATGGAATCTTATTTGGCCTTGAAGTGTTCATGATAGGCCGGAATGTATCACAATATAGCAGTTTTCTAATGTAATGCATAAAATAAGGAGGCTTCATTTTTACCGCACTAATGAATCCCAATTTATGCGTTTGTTTTTCTGCATTTTGTAGGCATTCCTTAAACTTTGTACAAGTAGAAGTGCAACTTGAAGTTGGG